AGTTGTCCAGATAATTTCTTTCTATTTTTTAGTAGAGACGGGGTCTTGCTCTTGCTCAGGCTGGTCTTGAACTCCTGACCTCGAGCGATCCTCCTGCCTGAGCCTCCCAGAGTGCTAGGATTACAGGCATGAGCCACTGCACCCGGCCTGCTCTTAATAAACTAGTCACAAAATAATGTGATGCTAGTTGGGGCATTTATTGTACCAGTTGAGAAAGCTAAGCTACATGGACAGAATCATGGGTATCTACCTGTGAGATAGGTAGATACCCATAAGTGAAGTGAGACAGCACTTCACTTTTGTTTCCATCATTGCATATCTGGCACATTAACCTCATTTAGGTGATCATTAAACAAATATGTATCGAGCATTAACGGCAACAGAATTAAACCTTTCCAAATATTGTCCCAGGATACAGAGCACCTGCACTTTTCTAAAAATCAATTTCACTACTCATTTCAACAAACCTCTATGAATTGGGAAATAAGTTGGAATGTTGGAAGAAAGAAATCCCAAAATAAAATAACTTAAAAAAATAGCTTAAACAAGAGAAGCCTGGGCTGGAAGTCCATGGCTGCTCTGGCTAAATGGTGATTTCAGGGACCCAAGTTCCTTCTCCCTTATCATTCAATTGTCTCTGAGGGCTGCCTCAGGCACCTGGCATTCCAGACAGGGAGGGATAAGGACTAGGGAAACATGCCCATGCTTTTAGTACAAACACACTGCTATTCACATCCCATTAGCCAGAACTTGGTTAAATGACCCCCCACCTACTAATTACAAGGGAGTCTGGGAATTACAGTGTTCGGTTTTTTTCCTAGATGATAATGTAATAAGCTAAAATATGGGGTTCCGTTACTAAAGGAAGAAGGGGGAATGGATATTGAGGGATAAGTAGCAGTCTTTAAAAGTACATTATTCAGAAATGTCCTGGATTCTATATTAATGCAAGATGTCAACATTCCAGAGGTGAAATTGGAGACATAAAAAGACATAGGCCCAAATCACTTAATACATCTTTTCATTCACAAAAAATTGCAAGGGAAAAACAAAATTAGAAGAATTGATGCAATCATTTTTCTTTACCAATCTAAATATTTTCAGTCCTTTATTTAAAACAGCAAATAAATGTGCATTTGTGCCCACTAGAAACTCATCATAACAGACACAGAAGCAGAAAGTTTATTTACTTAAAACATTTTACAACTATTATATTGTTATTGGACAATCATTTATTTAAAATAATATCCTAAATACTTACAAAAATAAATCAAGTATTGCTTCTATTTTTCAAGTGTCAAAGTCTTTGCCATAGAAAATAGAAAGGACCTTTTATAAACTAAACATTACATTTATGGAACATCAAGTTTAAGAACTTTACATTGTTTTCTTTTATGGTTTGTGCTTTACAAATTTGCAAACTACTTCGCAACATACAGGTTCACAATAAGAATGTATGCATACAACCATATACACACATTTTTACATAGGAATGTTTCTCATTAAATGTACATATAGAGAACCTAACACAGACAGTTCTGTGGCCTAAAAGCCAAACCCCCCATAGGTCAGATGTGCCCCTACACAGAAACAAGTATAGATGTGGAAACATTATCTAACATTGAAATTAGTACTTCAGTTATCAAAGATGATATCATAATGTCATCAGTTTAATATTTCTAGACAAGACATTAATTCTTAATCTATACTAAATCATAGTTTGACAGCCTTATTCATTGAAAAATAGAATAAACTTCAAATATTTCTCAATACATTAAGTTAATCTCAGGATAGACATCACTGTCATATTTATACACTCTATTTTAAAAAGAGAAAGGAATATTAATCTTAGAGCAAATGCTCAAAATTGAAGATAATTTTCAAATTGGTCTGTGGTTTTACTTCATAATCACTGGGTCATTTAATTCCTTATCAAATAGATAAATTCTGAATAGCTCTTCCATGGTATATGCCTTCAAGCTTCTCTTACAACACAGATGTGTATAAATCATGGTTCATGATGAAATCTATAATGCCTTACCACCCACAGGGTGTCAATCTCACTACATTAACCAGATGTGGAAAGAATCTCACTTCTGATCAGTTCCTGAATTTCTGTATGATTAATCACAATAACACAGAACTTTAAATTACATTAGTCTTGTATAAATACTTATAAATCAAACATTTTAATTCTACTTATCACCTAGAAAAGTGATAAATCAGAAAATTTGCTTTTTCTGTATTAAGAAAAATGAATCTAGCCTTATATTCTCATTCAGAAATTGTATTATGTAAAAATTCCAAGTATAATAATCGAAAATTTATGAGCAACTGAAATGAAAACACTAATTTATTAAAGTCAGTGTTTTATAATAAATTCCATTAAAAGGGAGCTTGAAGAGCTCATAAAATTTCAATTATAAGTATAGAAACACTAAAGGGGCAGATGTCTTCACTAACCAAAATATACCAAAATGCCATCATATTTAGAAAATGTTAAATAGCATGCTAAGATATTTTCAAAGGCTTATTTCATTTCACTAAAAGTCATGGGCAAGCAGACACTAACAAGAACATACGAAAATGCAAATCAATAATTACATCAAAATCTAAGAGGTAGTCAACAGAAGTAACCCTGATAAAACAAAATATCCTGACAGATGCTCCCTAATCTCAAAGACCCAAATGTAGTATGAAATTTGCATTTGCAGCGATTAAAAAATTACTGGGCAAGAATCTAAAAACCAGGTGTCCAAATGAGTAATACTGTAAATGGAACAATGCTCATACTGTTATTTGCAAAAAAAAGGCTAAGAATAAAATCTAGACCACAGCTACAGCCTGCAAGTCAAATCCGGCCTACCAACCATTTTTGTAAAGAAAGTTTTACTAAAACACAGCCATGTCCATTTTGTTTATATTATACATTGTATATAGCTACTTTCTCCCTGTAATGGCAGGGCTGAATACTTGCAACAGAGACTAGGCAGCTCACAAAGCCTGAGATATTTACTAAAATATTTAGTACCTATTCCAGCACAGAAAGTTTGTTGACCCTGGTCTAGACATACTGCTGATAGGTATGCATTTGTTGAACAGTACTAGAACAATTAACTATGGTTGTCACAACATAAGGTATTCAACTACCCAGAATGTAAGATGCTAATTATGTCACAACTGAATTCCTTTTTATATCTGAAACAGTCCTAACATTCTTCTTTTTATATTTGTGGTCTAATATCAAAAAGTATTTCTGAGTTATAAAAAGATTTAGTATGGCGCTGTCCAATAGAACTTTTTGCAATGCTGGAAATATTCTATAGCTGTCCTAATACAGGAACCACCAGCCGCGCGTGGCTACTGAGCATCTGAAATGTGGCTGGTGCAACCAAGAAACTAAATTTTTTATTTTAATTAATTTAAATTGCCACATGTGGCTTGTGGCTACAACACAGGACAACACAGATTTAACACAACTTAACTAAAATTCCAAAGTGGTAAAATGTAAAAATAACCCCAAAATTCAAAAGTAATACCTTTGCAAATAAGAGCTTTGGGCAGAAAGGAACTGAATACCACAAACTGAGCAAGACAAACTCCTTGATCAGCAAACAAAACTCAAACTGATTCCACGTTTTTTCATCACTGCAACGTGTCTTTTCAATGAGGAGGTAAAACTATTATACCATAATATATCTTTTTTTGGCAGAAGCCATGATAATTTTATACTTAAAAGGAAAAATTGAATCATCATTAATTACATTAAAAACTATGTAAACATTAACACAAAATATTCTTTAGCTTGCTTTCTATCAGAAAGTCACCTCTTACAAATGTCACTTTATTCCCCACCCTTAGCATTTCAATCATGCTGTCCAGAAGCCCTTGTTTACAGGAGGTACATATGAGAACTATGACCTCTTCAGAATCTACAAAATTTCTAATTAGTCACTTTTACTATAGCAACATCCTTCCAATAGTCAAATATTCCAAACATTATATCTTCTGTGACATGACAAAATACACGTACGCATTTAATGAAAGAATTGAAGGATAGCAGTAAAGCCTTGTATATATCAAGTCGAAGAAATCACCCTTGTATAGTTCATCATGTGCCTACCTCAAGACTATTTTTATATGGATCCCAAAAAATAATAAAACAAATCTAGATACATTTTATAATTACATATTACTCGTTACATATTGCTAATTAATTAACTTATTGAT